AGATGTTTCTAATCTAAATGATGCCACATTCCTTTATAACCAGGCATTTAAAGTGTCTTGGAAATGGTCTTGTCCCAAGTCAGGACATCAACTAGTTGATGAATTACATTGCTTCCAGCTCTGAGATTCCCATTACTTGGGCCATGGTTGCATGGCTCCAGTTGTTTGAGTGGAACAAACTTGAAACAATAGAATTGAGATTACTCTTGGTTTTTAATTTGTACTTTATACTCTTGCCATTAATTTTCACAGAAAGCAAAAAAAGCAGAAGTAAATGACAATAGGAGAAGAGGAATGGTCATTCAAAATGTGCATTTGTGAATCTCAAAACCAGGCCATGGTGTGCCATGGAACAGAAATCTTAGTCATCTGTCTTGCCTGGTAACACAAGGCACAGTTAATGTGGCCAGGCCTCTAGTTCTGCTGACATGACGTGCTGATGATAAGTCTTGAAGGCTTAGATTCAGTAGAGCCACATAGAATCACAGGGGTCTAGTGAATGAAAAGCTTCTGCAAGCTTATCAGCAGAAAGATAGCAGAGAGGTTCTGCTTCTATTACCAGTGTTCTGAAGATGTTTATCACCAACCTTCTGAGAACAGTAGTTTGACCTACACCAAACACTTCAGAAACAATGTCAACACACCCAAGACCACAGCCAGCAAGGAATTTTCTGAGATAAGATTACAACCTTTTCCTTAAAGGGATGCCAACCAAGTTAGTCGATCTCCTAATATTCCCTGAGTATAGCAACCCTATGAGTTATCCTTCATACCAGAGAATTTTAGAAGCTCAATTTTTATGCTTCCAAATACAAATATTCTGCCGCTGTTTTCCAAATTATGCACAAAACTGTAGCAATATCTAAAAAAGTTCCAGCAGGGTCAAGGCTCAGAAAGCCTGAGATTGGTGCCCATGAGACCAGCCAGTTGTAGCCACTGGAGACAGCTGTCTATTGGCAAAAGCATCCATTCACCTTTCCTTCCTTCCTTCCTTCCTTCCTTCCTTCCTTCCTTCCTTCCTTCCTTCCTTCCCTCCCTCCCTCCCTCCCTCCCTCCCTCTTTCCCTCCTTCCCTCCCTCCCTCCCTCCCTCCGTCTTTCCTTCCCTCTTTCCTTCCTTTGTTCCTTCCTTCCTTCCTTCTTCCTTCCTTCCTTCCTTTCTTCCTTCCTTCCTTCTCTCTTCTCTCTTCTCTCTTTTCTTCTTTCTCTTGCTCTATTGCCCAGGCTAAAGTGCAGTGGCATGATCTCAGCTAACTGCAACCTCCGCCTCCTAGGCTCAAACCGTTCTCATGCCTCAGCCTCCCAAGTAGCTGGGATTTTAGTCATGTGCCACCATGCCTGGCTAATTTTTTTTTTTTTTTGGAGAACCGGAGTCTTGCCATTTTGGCCAGGCTGGTCCTAAACTTCTGGCCTCAAGTGATCTGCCCACCTGTGCCTCCCAAAGTTCTGGGATTACATGCATGAGCCACCAAGCCCAGCCATATCCTTTCACCCTATTTCAGGATTTTATTTCTTCTCTGTTGGCTACATGTAGGCCAGAGGGCCTCCCAGGTAGATTAGAACCTCTAGTCTAGGTGTAGGGCAAAGTCATTATAGGAAAAGGTGACTCAGTCTTTGAGTAGATATGAAAAGCCACTATAATAATTTGTTTAAATACCTAGTCCTGTGTTTGATTTAAGTATCAGCATGCAAACTGGCACTGTCAGGGGGCCTATGTGCAGGCGAGGTAGTGCTGGTCAGGTATTCTCCCAAGACCATGGTGATGATGAGAAGCAGCAGCATTCACAGAGACAACTCACCTTTGATTTGTTCAGATGCTAATGGTATCACTTCTTGCTTTGAAGTGTCTCACGTTCATTTCTTTGTATTCCCTGTGCACAGCCCTAGTGTGGCTTTCTGGGTTCTAATTCCTCCTTCCCAGGGCTGTGCTGTGTATAGTTGCCAAGATTAATTAAAAACAAAGCAACAACAACAACAACAAAAACCCTTTTTATGTCATTTCCCAGTAGTCTCATAATAAAGTTTATACTCCTCTGGTTTATTATTGAATGTCCTCACAAATTTTTCTATCCAGGTTCTCTTTCTTCACTAATGTTTATTTCACCCAAAGGATCTATTACTGGCTGTTAACCTATTTTTCATTTTTCCTGCCTCTGTGCTTTTGTTCCTGCTGTTTCTCCCTTTTGGAATTCCTTCGCCCTTCTATTCAGATACAGCTCTTCCATTAAATCTTTTCAGATCAATCCCGCCTCCACTGATCTGACCCTCCTCTGAACTCTGCTTACTTGTCAGCTAAAGTCCATACCAGCCCTCTGGCAATTAATCACATACAGCCTGGTGAATGTATCTTTATTTTGCGTGCTCAATCTTGCTTTTTCATTTTCTGTTTGTCTCTCTCTCTGCTTCTCTCTACCATTGTGTATGGATGTCTATGTACAGCTAGATAAGAGGTCTATGAAAATAAAAATCTGTCTTATATATTTTTAGAATAGACGACCTAATCGGTGCTGCATGACATAATTGTTACTTAGGAGTTCTCACTGAGGATCTTGATTTGCATGCTGATGCTCCTGTGCAACTTTCAAATGTCTGGGGATCCCAGCTTTCTCAATACTAGCAGGAACAAGAACAGCATCCCCAAGCACTGAGAGCTAGGAAGATATCTGAAGTGGACTTAAAGGGCTTTCTTTTGAATAACTCAAAACTGTTCTGTAAAGCCAAGGTAGGTAGATTCTAATACTGATCTCCTCCGAGTTTAATGAGTATTCAGAAATCAAGGATTTAGGGAAAATTAAATAAAGTTTGCTCAACGTGCTTTTCCTGCATGCCCATATCTGCCACATGCCTGTTCTTGCCTGTCTATTCTTCCATGGCAGTGAGGCTTTCCCTGGACTTGCTCTTCCTCCAACCTCATCCCCAACCCCATATCCAGAGGGAGCCTAGAGAACTGGGGGGGGGCGTAGACATGAAAGGCCCAGTAGTGTGTGTTTTTGTTTGTTTGTTTGTTTGTTTGTTTGTTTTGAGACGGAGTCTCCCTCTGTCACCCAGGCTGGAGTGCAATGGTGCGATCTTGGCTCACTGCAACCTCTGCCTCCTGGGTTCAAGTGATTCTCCTGCCTCAGCCTCAGTTGGGATTACAGGCATGTGCCACCACACCCGGCTCCAGTAGTGTAGTTTAGTGCTCAAGTCTGGGTGTCTGGAGTTCAGATTTCACCTTGACCCTATGAGCTGTATGTCCTTAAGCAAGTTAACTCTTTAAGTCTGCAGTTTCTTCTTCTGTAAAATGAGGACAATAACAGAACCTACCTCATAGAGTTATACAGAGAATGAAATGGTAGTCCACATAAAATGTTCAGGCTATTGCAAGCATATTATATGATTGAAAATAGTCACTATATGGCATACAGTTTACAAACAATATGCTGAGATTTAAAAAACAAAACCAGACAAACTCTTGTGCTCCAATCACTATGCCTTCAAAACAGTACAGGAATTCTCTATACTCTGTCTTGTTTCTTATACCCATGCTCTTGCATCCTCTCTAATTAGGCCATGGCCCCCTCCATTCCACTGCAGCTGCTTTTTTCAAAGTCACCGATGATCTCCATGTTGCTCAGTTTTAAGACTTAATTCTTAGGTCATCTCTCCTGACCTATCAAGCAGAATTGGACACAGCTAATTTCTCCCTTTGTAAGACATTTTCCACATGCAGCTTCCAGAACACCTCACCCTCCTGGTTTTACTCCTACCTCACTGGCTACTTTCTTGTTCTCTCGTCTTCTTGCTTCTGGCTTAGTCCTTGGACTTTGTCATTATCCATATCCACGCCCCTCATTTATCTCACCCAGCTTCATGGCTTCAACCCCATCTCTCCTCTGACAACTCCGCAATTATCTCCAGCTCACCAGCACTTTCTCCCCTGAGCTCCAGACTTGATGGCAAGCTGCTATTCAATTTCTCCACTCAGGTATCTAATGGGCATCTCAAAGATGTCTAAAACTAAACTCCTATATTCCCTCCCCCAATCCTGTTCCTCCTGTATTCTTCCACATCTCAGGAACCCTGTCCTAACCTCAGACCCAAAACCTGAGTTACCTTTGACCCTTTTTTCATATCTCATGCACAGTCTGTCAGCAAATCATATTGGCCCTTCCAGCAAAACATCTCCAGAATCTGATCACTTCTAACAACCACTAGGACCACCCTACTTCTAAGCCACCAACATCCGTCACCTGGAATAGTGCAGTAGCCTCCCAACCAGTATCCCTATTTCCACTTGCCCTCAATATAGAAACCAGAATGACCTTTAAAAATATAAGCCATATTTATCACTCTGGCTCAGAGTCTTCCAGTGGGTTTTCACTCCAGGTAAAAGCCAGAGGCGTAACACTGGCCCACCACATGCTTGTTGACCCAGCTCCCGGCAGCTTTTCTGACTTCCTTTCTTACTGATCCCGCCTGGCTTACTCCACCAAGGCCACCCCAGGCCTTGCCTTGGGCCCTTTGTGTTTCTCTTCTGTCCAGAAGGCCCTTCGCCAGATGGCGTCACCACCACTAGGCCTTGGCTCACATGTCATGTCATGAGACTGTCCCTGACCAACTGTTCAACCTGTACCCTCTTTTCCAACCCCAGCATTCCCTAATCCCTTTCCCTACTTTACGTTTTGATGTAGTACTTCTCACCACCTGTCATACTTTTCATTTTGCCTATTTTATTGTTATAGTCTATTATATGTGTTTCCCACCAGAATGTAAACTCCACGAAGGCAGGAGTCTCTGTCTTCTGCCCACTCCTGTATGGAATGGTGCTTCATACATTAAAAATTGAGTGAGTCAAACATTTTCTTGCTGTTCTTGAGAGGGTTCTCTGGACTGGGGTCTACAGCTGGCCTGGATATTCTGCCTTGTGCCCTAGCTTCCTGAGGATGGAGCTGTCGCACTCCCAGGTTTGCGGCCTGCCTTCACTGCCTCTGACATGGCTGTGTCTGTCCCTTTTCCTCAGATGCATACTCTCATTCCTCAAGTGAGAATGGAGGCAAGTCCGAGTCCGTGGCCAACCTGCAGGCCCAGCCATCCCTGAACTCCATCCATAGTTCCCCGGGTCCCAAGCGCTCCACCAACACCCTTAAGAAGTGGCTGACGAGTCCTGTGCGTCGGCTCAACAGCGGGAAAGCAGATGGAAACATCAAAAAGCAGAAGAAAGTTCGGGATGGTCGGAAGAGCTTTGACCTGGGATCTCCTAAGCCTGGGGATGAGACAACCCCTCAGGGTGACAGCGCTGATGAGGTACTTACATGGGGCCCCAGAGTTGTCCATCAGGAGGGCCTTCTGACATGTCTCCTTCCTCAGGTTTTGTCAACTAGGCCATCTCAAATCTCCACTAGTGTGTTATCTTGAGCCTAAGTGATTTGGATTCATTTTATTCTAAAGACATTGGCCAGTTTGATTTGTGGTCAATTCAGAAACTGACTAGCACCTAAGACATCCAGCAGACAGAAACCATTTGCCAGATTTGGAGATAGGACCTGGGCCTGAGGGGAGTCATTTGGTCATTAGTTCCCTACCTCTATTAAGGACTACATTAAAACCAGCTAGACCTGTTTATATTTAGAATAAAAGAATGAAGATTGTTTCACTTTGGAAACAGGACTATGCTGGAAGATTATAGCTGTTTTCAAGTCTCTTGAGCAGTCCACACATCAAAAAGAATACGCCATCCAGAGTTACTCCAGATGAACAGATGAAGATTACAATAGGCGGGGTCTCAGCTCAAAGAAAAACTTTAATCAGGAAGTCAGCCAATGATTAAATGGGCCTTCATGAAAACTAATGAATACCCGTACTGGAAGGTTTGAGAGACCGTAGCCAAAGTTAGGCTGGACGAAGCTGAGATTCTGTAACCAAAAGACACTGGATATGTTTTGGTTGGGGAAATGAGATACCTGTTTTATTTGGCACACAATCCTGCTCTAATCACTGATGTAGCTAAGAACTTCTTTGTGATGTGTAACCGGACCCCCTCTTGTTGTGATTTTATGCTACCTGCCATGTCTCCCTCTGGAAATGGCAGCTGAGCCTGGCGGCATTTTTTACAAAAATGTAAAAGTTAGACTCTCTCCGACTACTTCCAGCTTTTTCTTTTCTTGCTAATCAATAAGATAGATAGTTGCTGGTTTTGCTTCTTTTGGGGGGTGTGTGTGTGTCCCCCATTGGTGCTCACTCTCATTTGAAATAAGCAGGTGTATCCATGTTTCAAAAGAGGAAATTGTGACTGAACAGTTAGGAGTGAGTTGAGGGAGGAACTCTCCTCCTATGTATTATTTTTGTTAATGTCAAGTCCAGAACCATTGGCATGTTTAGCTTGTGACACAGTAACTAATGCTGCTCTTTTGTTCTAGAAGAGCAAGAAAGGTTGGGGTGAAGATGAGCCGGATGAAGAGTCACACACACCCCTCCCACCGCCTATGAAGATTTTTGACAACGACCCTACACAGGATGAAATGGTAGAACTTCTTTCCTTTCTCACTTAAAAGAGCAATGTGCAGGGCGTGATTTTGTTTTTTGTGTGTGATGGGAGTAGTCGTACTCTTTCTCCCATGTTATCTCGTCCTCCGCATGAATCCATGCTGTTGTCAATTGTGTCTCTATTTGGTAGGTGTCCCTTCCCCAACCCTGGAGGTCCAGCTTCATTCTAGGCTGTGGAGGGGGTGTGTGCAGAATTCTCAAAGTGGGAATCTGCCTGGTGTCTTGTCCTGTTGATAAAGGGTAATGGTTCTGTCTTTGGAAGCAGCACATCCTGAAAGGAGCAATTCCAGGTAGTCCCAGTCCACAACCATTTTGTCATACCTGACTGTACAACCTACATGTTAGTTTTTTTCCCTATACTTAACTCTAAACTCTAACTAGTGGTAGCTACCAGTCAAGCCCAGTGTTGGTCAAATTTTGCAATGACAGTATGAGAAATGGAGATGCTGCTAAGGGGAAGTTATTGTCAAAGGTGGACAAACCTCATATGCGAAATTGCCTGTCTTTGCTTTGCAAGATTCCCTGGCCCACTGGCATACAGAGGCTCATTGGTATTTTATCGATGCTCCCTGTGTCTCCAGTCACCCGGTGATCATCCCAATTGTTCTGGAGCAGAAGCGTGGGTTAGATGTACTTACAGGTACTGACCCGAGGCTTGGGGCAGCTTTGTGTTCTCCCTCACTTGCCACTGAGTCTCCTTGCAGCCCTGCTTTCACGTCACTGTGTTTTTCTTGCCTTACGTGTTGCTGATTCTCTTCGACTCTAGACGTGGAAGTGGCAGTTTTGGGTTTTGACTGTACGTCACTTTCAATTTGCTTTTTTGAGTGCTGTTTTGTTGCAGTGGTGGTAGTGGACGCGGCAGCTTGCCTGCCTGTCCCTCCAGGCTCTCCTGTGCTCTCTAGTGCTCTGTCCTGCAGTGGGACAGCCTCCCTCCAGGAGGTGCCCAGCAAGTGTAAGCAGGAAACAAATCTCTGTAGTACCATCGAGCACACAATTCAAAAAGCACCGTCTGTGGATGTGTCCTTTCTGGTGACATCTCAGTTCTTATTTTAATTCTCTCGGCTTTGCATTTGAATTGTTAACCCACAGACATTAACTGAAGTCTTCCTCTGGAAGGCTGGAAGGACAGAGTCTAGGGACTCTGAGATGTGGCAGCTGCCCCCATGATGTGACTCACCTAGTCGTGGCCCCTCCTAGGTGATGTTGGTGGCCCTGTCTTCAGGGCCAGATCTTTGACTCTGGATCACTGGGAAGAAACATAGTAGGAAGGCTGGTGTTATGCCATCCTGCGTTTCTGAGACAGAAGTGCTGGTGCTTCACCTTGAGATGGGAATGAGACCCTGCCTACTTGTAATGTGTTTTATAAACAGCGATCGTGGCCTGAGGAGTAGGGTGCCCATGTCTCACACAGCCCTCTGTGCAAGGGCCCTGCTTGCATAAGGTCACCACCCTCTCTCTCTAATTCCCTCAAACACAGCTTGTTTACAGAAATGGATGTTACATTGTTTCTGGATAATTTTTAACTGAGAATTCTGGCTTAACCTTTATTTGTGTAGCCTTTTCCTTACCCAGAAATGGGGCAGATGGCAACAGTCTCCTTTCAGATACACGAATTCTCCTTATTCTTGCTTGTTTGATTTCTGTATGTTTTTATCAGTGTTTGGGAGTGGGATGAACTTCAGAGCATCTAGCAAATGGAGTTGGATTTATTAAAACAATTTTTACAACACTGTCAAGGGAATTTTTAAAAGTTCACCATTGTAATATTGTGCACTTGTCTTCTCCATGTTTCCTTCTAATCTTTTTCATATGTGTGTACGTTTTACTTTTACAATTATAATATGCATATGATATGTCCAATGTTTTATTTGCTACCATTTCCTAAAATTGCATTAATTGTTTTCTTCTTAGCTGTAATTTTCATAGCTGGAGAAAACTTTGCTTATTTTCTGTTCCATAATGTGTTTGATCAGCCTGTTGGGGACACCGTAACAGGGTGTTTCCATTGTTTGCTACTGTGGCTAATACTACTACATACAAATCACTGTGTATATAAAGCATTTGTTCGTTTGACTTCTGTCCTTGGAATAAATTCCCAGGAGTAGGACTACTAGATTAAAAAGAGGATAACTTGATTTTCCACATAGACGTAAGCTTTTTCCTGCGTTCCCCAAGACAGAAAAATAATATTATTATATCTTCCTTAATTATAATTATTTTCCTCCCATCTCAGAAGCAAAGACTTAATAAAGTAACTTAGATTAGATGAGAAGCTTCATTTTTGAAACTTTTCCTCTAACCCAAGGGGCACACTCAAAGGAGCCTGTGTCCTGGCCTTGGGAACACCACTGCCGTCTGCTCTGATAAGCTGGAAGTAAAAGCACATACGTACTGTGGGGGGTTAACCATTTCTGCCCCAGTTTCTTCTCAGGTAGAAGAAAGAAGAAAAAGCCAAACAAAAAACCACCGTCCTTCAGTGAGCAGGAAGCCCCAAACCATTGACCAAACCACCACACAGACAACTCCTCATTGCTGGCGCAGGGGAAAGGGGACACAGGAAGGTCCTGGAGTCGTCTCTCTTTACTATGAACAGGATAGTTCCTGGCTGCTTCAGGACTCCTGCTAAAGTCTTTTATTACTTCCTAGTGTTCCGGTTCAGGGGCCTTACCAGAGCCAGCTATGCTTTGTGGAGGGGTAAGGGTGTATGTGTGTCAGGGGCAGAGGGGGAGAGGAAGAGGGAGGGAGAGAATATAGGAAGGGAGTATCTAGCTTGCTGGTCGCTAAGGGTCCTGCCCCTAGCATTTTTGCTAGACACATAATAAGGATCTATATTTAAGGCTATAGTAAAGCAAGGACTGTTTCCCTTTTTTGGACACACTGGAGGCTGAGTTTATTGAATCCTTCACACCCTGAAACAGCAACGGGCAACTGTGTAGTGGCCAAAGTCTTGTTTGCCCACAGAGCAGTAGCCCCCACCCTCCAAGCTGTTGCTGTCAGTAGGTGCAGCCCTGGCCTGTAGGCCTCCCAGGAAGTCAGTGATTCCTCCTCTCCCCTCCTTCATAGGCTTACCTAAGGATAGCCTAGTCCCATCCATTTGCTGCTGGCTAGAATTTCTGATAAGGGGTTGGGCAAGCCTGTATTACACCCACACTCTTCTCCGTCTGTCACCTGTTCCCTCTAAACACAGAACTTTGCTTCCCTTCCCTGCTTTGAACTTTGGATTTTCTGTTTTACTTCCTGATCACTGTTCCTTATTCCTTGCTAATCTGCTTTTCCTCTGCTGCCCGATGTCTTGCAGTCCTCCTCTTTGCTAGCAGCCCGGCAGGCTTCCACTGAAGTACCTAGTGCTGCAGACCTTGTCAGTGCAATAGAAAAGTTGGTCAAAAACAAGCTGGTAAGTGGGGGTCCCGGAGGCAGTTCTGTGTGTGTCTCACCTCCACGCTGCTCCAGCCTTGCATCTGTCTGCCGTTTTCTCCTTTCACCTGTCCTCATTCCTCCTATGTGATTGCAGCTAATGATGGTTTCTAAAAAACTGTACCCCAGAGTCCTTTCTGACTTTGTTTGGGAATGGGCATAGGGAATTAATAGATTGTTTGGGGGCTGCAGCGTTGATGAAAGTTGAAAACTATCCAAGACAAACTTAACTCATTGCAAGTCTGATCCAGTGGCCCACAGGCAAGTGGCATTCAGTCAGCGATTGATATATATTTGGTTAACCCAGAAGCTAGTGCACTGTGATGCTAGAACACACTGATTGGATCTTTGATAGCACTAGGAAGTTTTATGAGGGACCTTGGGTAGCCTTCCAGCTTGCAAAGTCTCTCAAAAGTAGACTGCTGATTATAAAGGGGAATGGGCAAAAGTGTGTGGATACCTCACCACAATAAATTAAGAGAGCCAGTGCCTAGCCCTACCATGGTGGGAAAAACTGAACATAAGCCACTGGCAGCCTGTCTAGCCTGTGACTGTCTCATTGACCCATCAGCCGATTGGAGGGATAGGTGATGAGCCTGAGCAGGTTTGGGGTTTTGGCATAATGCTGGTGAAAGGGCCCTTTTTTGGATAGCTCATTAGGATAGAGCTGTTCCTCCACTCTCATGTTTTTACATTTAAGTGTGTCACCACAGAATGACACCTGGAAGCATTTTCCTTTCTTTCACTCTCATCCATATCACCCATTTAGCTTTTCCTGCAATTCTCATTAGGATAAATGTCTGTGCTTCTGCCAGACTTCTGTTGGGCAGTCTTATTAATCACTTGGCCCAGGAGCTAGAGGAAAATGATGGATGCTCTCTATGGAAAGCTACCTAATATTTTGACTATAGTAACTCCCTTTTCAAATATCCCAGCATATCCTGTATAAATGAGGTTTAATACATATGATTTTATTTTTTTTCCTGCTAAATTTTCCTTTCTAATTCAGAAAAGAAAAAAACCCTGCTGTTTTTGGTACCCAGTGTCAAACTCTTGAAGGTTGTCCGTTTTCCTGCCATCTCTCTTTTTCCTACCAGCAGGAGTTAAGTATCTTGTGGGCACTACGTTGACTTTTCAAAGACCCCTCCCTGGTATTTCTCACTTGCTCTCCCTTCCTCTCCACACCAACCCATATACCCTCTTCATTCTACAAATGCTATATTTAATTTTTTTCTTAAAGTCATCCTTTTTCTTTTTTGCATTTTTTCTTTTACCATCTGAGCCTGGGCTCTGACTTCATTCCTGTACTATTGCAGTAGCCATTGCCTGCCCTTTCCCCACCCAGTCTGCCTTCACCTCAAATTGGTCTTCTGTAAACACTGCTTATTACCTCCCTCTTGGCTGCATAAGCAGTGGTCTTCAATGTGGGGGTGCCCTCAGGTACATAAGACAACTTACTGGGGTGTGGGAAGAAAATATTAGAGCCTCTTTATAGCATTTTAAAATGGTTTTATATGTGTTTTCTTATGTATATAATGATAGTACAGTAGCATAGATATAGAATTTATAGACAAGTTACATGTTTGGGGGTACGTGAACAAAATTATTTTCAATGACAGAGATATATAATCAAAGTTTGGGAATCACTGGCCTATACATAAAGCCCACACTTATCTAATATTCTGATATTTTTGTAGCCTGTTCTCCAACCTACCTTTCCAGCATCTAGTTATTTATTTGGTTGATGAACTCTGCTCCAAACAAATTATTTTCTCTGCTGTCCTCAAACTCATACTTGGCTTTCTTCCCTCTAAGTTTTTGTTCATATCGCCCCACTTCTCTGGAATGTTCTCCCTCTTATGTTTGCTGATCTAGAGCATAATGGTCATTCAGGGTCCTCCTCAAATCTCCTCTCTACAGGGGCTCCTCTGACCAGCCCAGGCCAAATTTCCATTGTAATCCCGTGGTAATTATGAAAGCCACACACCGCCTGGGACAGCTCTTAAGTAGCTCTGTAGCATAATTTGTTCAAATATCTGAATGTTTTCATTTGCATTTTACCTCCCTAGCTAGATGGTAAGTCATTTAGGATATTATTATTATTATTATTTTTGCTCTATTAGTAAAAAAAAAGCCTTTTACACTTATTTTTATATTTTGGATTACCTTTTGCTACTACTACTGCTAAGCTTTGCACTGCTGACAGTCTCTGGGCCACTAACACGTGTGATCTGTGCTGTTAAACATGGCTAGGTGTTAAACATGTAGGCAAAGACATAGAAAAGTCCCATCAGAGCAAATTTTCTAGAGAAGAGGGGATGTGGGATGGCACTGGTGTTGATTGGCTTTATTATAGGCTGTCAATAAATGTCTGTTGAATGAATGTCCTTTCTGTGGTGAGTTTGCCATAATGAAGGATTTAACTTCTTCCAGCAATAACTACTCTTGAGGACCTACAGTAAGCCCAGAATTAGAGCTATCTTTGGCTTAACATGTAAAACCAAGCTCACGTCACAGAAAGGAAAAAGGAAGCAGTGGTTTGGTTTCTTAGAATCTTCCTACCAAAAGTTGATTCTTGGTCCTTTCCACCACTTTCTCTTTCTTCCCTTCCCACATGGGGTAGCAATGTAACAGTACTAGGTTTTGAATATCTCAGCCATGCTTGAGAGCACTAAGTTGTATTTTCACCTTCAAGACTCTTAGTCCTATTCCTTATCAGTTCTTCAGCTTAGAAGAAGAAAAGATCCAGAGCCCATAAAAGCTCTGGAGTGTTTATTTGACTAAGTACAACTGTGTGATAGCTGCCAAGATAGCGAGTATTATCACAGGCTTGATTAACGAAAGTACAATGTACAGATCAAGAGAAGCAATAGTATTCAAAGGTATTCAGACCATACACGTCATGCGCTGTGTGTGAATAATGCATTCTATTCTTTCCTTTTTTTTTTTTTTTTGAGACAGAGTCTCACTCTGTCACCCAGGCTGGAGTAGTGCAGTGGCATGATCTCTGTTCTCTGCAACCTCCACCTCCCAGGTTCAAGTGATTCTCATGCCTCAGCCTTCTGAGTAGCTGGGATTACAGGCACGCTACCACACCTGGCTAATTTTTGTATTTTTAGTAGACACAGGGTTTCACCGTGTTGGCTAGGCTGGTCTCAAACTCCTAACCACGGTGATTCGCCCACCTCAGCCTCCCAAAGTGCTGGGATTACAAGCATGAGCCACCATGCCCAGCCAATGTATTCTATTATTCTATTCTAAATGCAACCTTCTACAATGTTCTTGAACAAACTGGAGGGGCCCAGAGGAGATAACCAGACCATGTGGTCCATGTAATTTGAAGGAAAGTTGAGGAAACCAAGGTTAAGTATGGGAAGAAGTTAGGAGAAGACACATAAGAGCTGTCTTCTAGTAATTGAAGCACTGCCATGGGAATGAGGTTGCAAAGAGTAACTAACTCTTTGCTACCCCAGAGGGCAGAACCTAGACCTGTGGGTGGGAGTTTTCTTCGTTTCATATGAGGAAGAACTAATAAAGTTCTTTCCACTTTACAGAATTCAATTCCGTCTTACAGGAGCATCTGGTATTCTTGGACTTTACTTAGTCCTTAAAGTCTTTGTGCTTTGTTGGTTGCTCAAGCCATGGCGCCAAATTCTGCATTAGAATTCATTTGGCTTCCTAGCTCCACCCAAAGGCCATGAGATCCCCCATGTTCCTATCTCCCAGAGCTGCCCCTGGTGCTTTATGGTTGCATGGTCATTGTTATACCAAAGCTTCTGCCTCGGTGAGTTAGGATCACTGCTGCACAAGACCTACTGTTAAGGAACAAAGACAGGGTTTATCTGAAGTGCAGATAAAACTTCTGAAGACTCACTACCCGCCAATGAGTCCTTCTGGACGTTAATGGGCCCTTCTGTGGTCTTGCCACCAGCCTTGGTCTTTAATCGGTGCTCTTGTTTATCAAGAAAGGATGCTCACCCATCTCCCCAGATAGGGATAACATTCTTTTTCTGGGTTTTGCATTAAGGTATTATCTTTAAGCCAGGAATACAGCTCCCCCTGCTTTCACTGTGTGATTTTTAATAAACCCTTTTCTAGACCTGTGGACTGTTGCTGCTGGCAGTGAGTGTGTAAAGAATCAGAAGACCTAAGATTTAGTCCTGCCTCTGCTGCTTACTGTATAGTCCTGGGAAAATTACTTAGTCTACTTGGGGTTCTCTTTTACCTCACTTATTAGTGATGCTGATTCTGTCTATTCAAATCTAATCCCAAAAGAGTTATGATGATAATTGAGTAGGTATGAATGGGCTTTGTAAACTGATAATCAAGCATCTACAAAGGTTAATTCTTAGCCTCCTCAACTGCCTTGTGAAGGACAGGGAAAGGGAATTGTGTCATCCTTATCTCTTGTAGCTTGGTATGAAGCTGGGCACATGGAAACTTACTATTTGCCGGCGATAGATTGGTTGGGTGAATGTTACAGAGTAATAGCTTAACAGTCTATACAATTTGGTTTTATTCCCCAAGTTTGAGAAACAAGGCCTTGAGAATCTAGTGTATCTCTAAACTGAAGTCCTGGAGCCCCAGAATTCTACCATCTTCCTGGCATGAAAGATCGAGACTCTAGAAAGAAAGTCCCTAGGCTGGGTGTGGTGGCTCACACTTGTAATCCTAGCACTTTGGGAGGCTGAGGCAGGCAGATTGCCTGAGCTCAGGAATTCAAGACCAGCCTAGGCAACATGGTGAAACCCCATCTCTAGTAAAATACAAAAGAAATTAGCTGGGCAAGGTGGCATGCGCCTGTAATCCCAGCTCCTCGGGAGGCTGAGGCATGAGAATCACTTGAACCCAGGAGGCAGAGGTTGCAGTCAGCCGAGATCGCGCCACTGCACTCCAGCCTGGGTGACAAAGCAAGACTCCGTCTCTACAAAAGGGCAGGGAAGGGGAGGGGAGGGGAGGGAGAAAGGAAGGAGGGAAGGG